CGATTCCGATAACTAAAATATTTTGCTTGTGAATACACAGTATAGGGGTTAACTAACAATCAAAGAAACCAGAGTTTCAAATTGAAAAAACCCCGGAATGATATTACAGACGGTATTTGTTCCCTCTTGAAACGCCGAACATACCCCGTTGTGTGCAGCTGAATATTCAATGGCGTCTTATTTTGGTTACAAGCGACAGATTCCTTTATTTTTGTATCGCTGCATTTGTCATCAAAATAAAAACATGCGCGGGGTTTAGAGTGAGGCAATAGATTATACATTTAGCCTGACGGTAGTGAAGTAATACCCCATTCACAGTGGTTTTGAAATTTGTAGCGGCGTTGTAGCGGAGCGGCGACACCGCCATAACACCGCTACAAATGCATTCACAGTAGAAAAGTTATCCCGCTGCAGCAGCGGGATAAATATCATGTACCCATTCACGCTGCAGCGGGTGATTTTTATTACCTCCGTAACAAACACGTGTATGCATGGCTCATGACCCGCGAGTGACCCCGATATGACCGGAAATACTTCAGCGCGGGGTTTTCGATTGCTTGAAATTGCGCGCGCTAGCTGTACTTTACACACTCTTCCTCATGTAGCTAGCATTTTTATTGCTTCCAGTCAGAATATTTTAATTTTTGAAGTGTGAAATATTTTTATTTGGATAATTATAATATCTACATAATAATAAAATCAATTTGAATCCACTGGTTACTTTATTTCTATTTCACTTTATGTTCCCCATTGCTGGAGAAAAGAGGTCAGTGATAGGTAAGTAAACAAATCACACGTGTTTGTCGCGGTGTTATAGCGGAGAGCCTTCACACTGAGTAAACACCGCGACAGCAGCGGGACTGTCCCGCTGCTGTAGCTAGGCGAACCTAGCGATAGTTTGTCGCGGCGTTATCGCGAGGCGGTGTTATCCCGCGATAGTTTATAACGGGTCCGAGCCTTCACACTGAAGACAACACCGCGACAGCAGCGGGACAGTCCCGCTGCTGTCGCGGTGTTTGAGGCCACTGTGAATGGGGTATAAGAGAAAGAACTCAAGAGAAGATGAAAACACAGGCACTGAAAATGTGTGAGATGTCATGGGACATCGTCTGCTTGTGCAAATCGTGTCCATACTGTGATCTCACACATCTCAGCAGCGTTCGGAGAGCTCTTCAGGTGCTATGCCGGGGCTGTATTTAAGCGATTTATAATTTATAATAATCATTACTTCGAATATTTCCAAGCATTGCATTTTGATAACCTTGTCGAATAAAAGTTTCAACTTTGCAATAATGAAATTAAGTTAGTTTTTTAAAATCAATGAATATCTACTTTAACATTCAAAACCTCCTATGTATGCAAGCTATTACTATTATATTTCCATTCAATAGCCAACCCCAAAGCATGCATATCAAAAACCCCATATACTGTGTGTCTTAAATGCAAATGTATGCAATAATGCATCCTACGCTTGGCTACCTCTATCTGACCTTTGAGTAGGACATTTCCCTTCTCGCCTGGAAAAAATTCCTTTCATGACAATATCATAATATTCATTGGTGTCGATCTTGGGGGGATGGGGGATATATCCCCCCCCCCCCCAATATGTCAGGTGGGGGGATGGCCTGTACAATCATCCCCCCCCAATAATTCACCATCAAAACAAAAAAGAGAGAGAAAAATTAATGATGAGAGCCTGATGAGAGTAGTTCATGGTTATTACTCGCAAGATGACCATCAATATACACATTTTGCTATCTCATTTTCATAATACATACATATATACGAAATAAATTAGACAACCGTATATGGGGGTAAACTGAATTCAGACAAGGACACGATACAACGAATCGTCTTCTTTCTCTAATGATTTAATGAAACGTCAAAGCTTCCGCGCTTCGCGCGAGATGGGCGAAAATGAATTCAGAAAAGGATTAAGAGTAATAATTTATTGAAATGCAAAGCTTCCGCGCGGGGAAACTGAATTCAGACAAGGACACGATACAACGAATCGTCTTCTTTCTCTAATAATTTAATGAAACGTCAAAGCTTCCGCGCTTCGCGCGAGATGGGCGAAAATATAGACAAGGATTAAGAGTAATAATTTATTGAACCGTCAAAGCTCCCGCGCTTCGCGCGGGAGGGCGGGGGGGGGGGGAATTGCACTCAGACAAGGACACGATACAACGAATGGTCTTCTTTCTCTAATAATTTAATGAAACGTGAAAGCTTCCGCGCTTTGCGCGAGATGGGCGAAAATGAATTCATACAAGGATTAAGAGTAATAATTATTTGAAACGTCAAAGCTTAACCCTCTTCGCGCGGGAAGGGGGGGGGAATGAATTCAGAGTCGAGAACGGTACAACGGATCGTCTTCTTTCCCTAATAATTTAATGAAACGTCAAAGCTTCCGCGCTTCGCGCAGGAGGGGTGGGGAAACTGAATTCAGACAAGGATTAAGAGTCAAGAATGGTACATCGAATCGTCTTCTTTCTTTAATAATCTAATGAAACGTCAGAGTTTCAGACAAGGACACGATACAACGAATCGTCTTCTTTCTCTAATAATTTAATGAAACGTGAAAGCTTCCTCGCTTCGCGCGAGATGGGCGAAAATAGAGACAAGGATTAAGAGTAATAATTCATTGAACCGTCAAAGCTTCCGCGCTTCGCGCGGGAGGGCGGGGGGGGGGGAATTGCACTCAGACAAGGACACGATACAACGAATGGTCTTCTTTCTCTAATAATTTAATGAAACGTGAAAGCTTCCGCGCTTTGCGCGAGATGGGCGAAAATGAATTCATACAAGGATTAAGAGTAATAATTATTTGAAACGTCAAAGCTTAACCCTCTTCGCGCGGGAAGGGAGGAATGAATTCAGAGTCGAGAACGGTACAACGGATCGTTTTCTTTCCCTAATAATTTAATGAAACGTCAAAGCTTCCGCGCTTCGCGCAGGAGGGGTGGGGAAACTGAATTCAGACAAGGATTAAGAGTCGAGAATGGTACATCGAATCGTCTTCTTCCTTTAATAATCTAATTAAACGTCAGAGCTTCCGCGCTACGCGCGGAGGAAGGGGAACTTGATTCAAACAAGGATTAAGAGTCGAGAACGTTCCAACGAATCGTCTTCTTTCTTTAATAATTTAATGAAGCGTCGAAGCTTCCGCTCTTCGCGGGGGAATGGGGAAACTCCTCCCTCCCTGCACCCAACCCCCTAGGGAGCGCGCTTCGCGTGCTCACTACCTCCCCCCCCCCCCCCCCCCCCCCTAAAATGAAACCCTGGCTACGCGCTTGGGGATAGGGTGCAACCTGCCACACGCGTCTACCTCTTGGTTGCTTTGATCCATTGCCGAAAATATTTTGGCACCTATCATCCCCCCAACCACGGATACAAATCGACACCCTTGATAATATTATTACATTACTAAGCACGTTTAGTCAAGAAACAAATTGTACGCCTGTTAAAAGAGGCCTACTTTTTGTTAATACATCGTTCTTCTCTACATTATAGCAAACTAATCTGTCATTTTATCAGTCCCAGAACATTAAATTTAATGGCTTTTCAAACAGGGTGCAACGTGAATATGAAGGAATCTTTCATGGAATATAAAACCATGGACCAGGAAGATTTTTTTCTATTGATTTCATGTATTAGTCAAGTTCAATGTAACATACATACCAAGAGTCAAATGATATTATAAAATGAAAGCAAAATAATACTACCAATAATTTTTCAGGATGAAATGTGACAGCTAAAAAGCTTTTTTACAATGAGGTTCCATTTACAAAGTGAGCATCAAATATTTCGTCATCTAAAGATACAAAATAATCACAATATAATTCAAAAAATATAAGCACAAACAAAATAATTTGTTTAATACTTTGAGAATAACAACATGAGGAAAATAACAATAACAAGAGGATAATCAATTCTTATCAATTTTGAATGTACACATTATGATATCATATCACTGACTTTCAGTAAATATCTAAGAGATACGCTTACACAATGCAAGAAGTAAATGTATATTTAACGTATTGCATTTACATATTATTTCGAGAGAGCGAAGTTACCAGGAAGTTATCATTCTACAGTATAATGGCAACTGTATTCAGGCAATTACAATCTATCTAGAGAAAAGGCATTTTCTCATTTGGTTATTTATCACATAATAAACAACATAACATGAAAAATAGGCCCATTATTAGAGTATATTAGGAGCAGAGAGGTATACACAATACAAATACCGGTGAACAGAGCGTGAGATACAGATGATTACATTGATACTTTGATAAAATACAACTTCTTGTCACAAGCAAATGTGAGCATGTCCGGAGAGAGGGAAACCAAGTTACACCAATTATTTCCTAGCGTCAGATTAAGTACATTGAACTGAAATCTCTCCTTCAGGTTCAGACCATCAAGGTCATAGAGCCTGATCACCACGTGACCATTCTTTTTATCATAACTCGCTACATACACCCTGTCCTGCTCATCCACGGCAGCATACAGGGAGACCATGGATAGAGCTTGTAGAGACTTACCAGCATTCCCATCCCTGTCATAGACAATAACCACGCCTGGAATGCCGAAACTGCTCGTGACGATCAAACCCGACCTGGTGGCAGATACCTGGATCGTAATGTAGTGTTTTGTTGGAACAGTGTGCTTGAGAGTGGTTCCAGACGGGTCATAGATAAAGATTTTCTGCTCATTGCAAGCCGCGATGAGGATTTCATCAAACGAACTTTTGTTTACTCTGAACCAGCCAAAGCTGTTCATGTGGACGGTTGATTTCCCGGAGCCATTGGGAGAATATTTGTCTACTTTGCTAAACGTCGATAAGCACAATGACCTGTCATGTTGAAACACAAGATCATAATACGCAATGTTACTTGGTATGTTTGCATACTGTTCCTGTTTACCAGCTGAATCAATGATATCTATACCATTTTCGCCAAAATATCCGATAGCCACACTATTATCAGAGTACGGGGTCATACCTCGCATCTCTCCCGTAGATCTACACATTGAATGACTTGAACCTCGGGATCTGATTCTGAGATGCTCCCGAGGTCAAGACGAGAATCATCTGCAGGATTGAACCTCTTCTCGTGTGCTTTCTTTGTAATGGCTGCCGCAGAAGTGTGATCAGTAGCCTCCTTCAGCATGGCATCCAGCTCCTCACAGAGCAAGGTATGAGCAGACAGACTGTCTGTCTCAAGACGACCCAGTCTGTCATTAGCTACCAGTGTTATTGAACTACAGATACTCTTGATCCTCTGTCGATCCTTGGATTTCAAGACGTTGAGGTCGTCCTCGAAACTGTGCTTTACTGAATTGAGTTGCTCGATGAGATTTCGATGATTTTCTTCAAGCTCTTTAGCCTTGATGCTGTAGGCTTGACTGACATCGTCCAGTAGTTTCTGCACGGCAGTGTATACTTCATGGCGTTGTACTTCCACATTCTGAATGTTCTTCTCCAGTTCTGTCTTCTTAGCGGCACAACGCTGAACAAGGTCATTCACCTAATCAAAACAAATAAATAATAGAGAAGTGAAAAGAACATTCTGTAGAATGAGATGTATGCCAATCAGGCGCGGACCCAGGATTTCTTTGGGGTGGGGGCCCAAATTTGAAATCAATTTGAAATTTAGTGTGCTGAAATTTGAAAATCGTGCCGGCCAATATTTCGCTCAGTTTGGCCTTCAAACATTTGAAAAATCGCACCCCCTCCCCCTCGAACGCCGGGGGGGGGGGGCCTATCTCCAAAAAAAGAGGTAAAATTAACGTTTTTTCCCAGGACCTTAGAACCTCAGGGGTTTTATACATCATATTATCGTCGGATGAGCATAATTTTATACCTTATTTGTGACACTGGCAGGTCACGAAATGGCGTGGGGTCCAGGGGGTGGAGCCCCCAGAGGCCCGGGGTTTTGGGCAATAAATAACGGTTAGATGAGCATATTTTTATACCTTATTTGTGACGATGGCAGGACATAATTTGGCGTTGGGTCTAGGGGGCGGAGCCCCCAGAAGATCAGGGATTTTATACATTAAATTATCGTCAGATGAGCATAATTTTATACCTTATTTGTGACACTGGAGGGTCACGAATTGGTGTGGGGTCCAGGGGGCGGAGCCCCCGGAAGTCCAGAGGTTTTAGGCTATAAATAACGGTTAGGTGAGCATATTTTTATACCTTATTTGTGACATTGGCAGGTCAGGAATTGGCGTGGGGTCCAAGGGGCGGAGCACCCGGAAGTTCAGGGATTTTGGGCAATAAATAATCGTCGGATGAGCATAATTTTATACCTTATTTGTGACACTGGCAGGTCACTAATTGGTGGTGGGTCCAGGGGCGGAGACCCCGGAAGCTCAGGGATTTTGGGCAATAAATTACTGTCAGATGAGCATGATTTTATACCACTGGCAGGTCACGAATTGGCAAGGGAGGCGGAAAAAACAAATCCTTCCTTGTTTGTTAAGATATTTGGCATTGTGAGGGGGCGAAACGATTGGGCTCCGACCCCCCATACATGGGATAAAATGCCCCTGATTCTTCCTGCCTGTTGGAAACAGGCTTTCTACAGTATAAAGACAGGACTGCACTTTCTATATTTTGTAGAGCAGGGTAGCGACCAATAACTGAGTAAATTTAGTTTTTTTTTAATTATTAAATTCCGCATTTAAGATGACTAATCTGCTGATAGGGCTTTGCTGCAAAATATTTATTGTCAAAGGGGAGGATCTACTTTTGCCCCGACCCTTTGATTGATAGAAGTATCTACTCCCATGCTTGCAGTGCCTATATTGTAGAAGGGGGTTTACAAACATAATAAACATTAGGTCTATTGGTATTCGAGGGAGCGTAATGACCGTGTGGGGAAATGTTGATTTTAGGATGCTTATTGCAATGCAAAGGATTAATACTTAATTTTCCTTTTTCTACCTTGCGAGGCCACCCCCCCCCCCCCCCCCCCCTCCACTTGAATTACTCCATGAGCCCCGTCTGTCCCTAACCCTTCCCGCTTCCGGTGCCAACGGTTATAATGAAAACACGATTACCTTAAGCCGTAACTGCTGCTCAAAGTCGGCCTGATTCTTGATGTTGTGATTTTGATGACCGACGATCACGCACTTGAAACAGACGTGGACTTTACAATCCTCACAAAACATATCTTTGTTCTCTTGTTTGTGGGTGTAGCACTTCTCGGATAGATGACTAATGCTGACCTTCCCGTTGATGATATCCTGTACGGATACAATCTCATGGGCCTCAAACATCACAGACAAATTCTGATCACTCGTCAGACACTGCTCACACAAGTAGCTGTTGCAGGTTTTGCAGAATGACACAGCATCTTCTTGACGTTTGCAAGCAGTGCATTTTGGACGCATCTCAAGGACAGCATTCATCCCTCCACTCTTGGCGTGGTAATCGTCTACCAGTGCGTTGACAGTCACATTGGTGAGGAAATCTTTGACACGGTTCGCAGACAACTTGGTGACCTCCCTGCAGAGAGGACAGGTCATGTGATCGAGATCCTGATGGGACAGGTCATAGATCTCGAGACATTTCCGACAGAAGGTGTGTCCGCATGAAGTTAGGATGGTTGCCTCGTCGAAGATATCAAGACATAGCGGACACGTCAGGTTCTGTAAAGAGCTTGGAGCTTTATCGTCTTCAGTCTTCTCAGCCATTGGTACAAATATCAGCTTTTCGGCAAATGTACAAATGTCCAACAATCAGTTCATGCAAGCTTAAACAATATTCATTGACGTATATGTACCAATATCCTGAGTCTAAGTTTTCACGTTGAATAATAATATGCGTCGAAAGAGGTGCGCCTATCTATGATCAAAAGTATTAATTCTCTATCCAAGTGTGTATATAAATAAGGTTACAATGGTAAAATCACACTTGAGTAGATCGTCTGTTCATATAATGTAGTTTGTGCATCCTATAAATAGCAGTGGGTTTTCCCACAGATAGCGCACAGGATATAACCACCTTTGAACTCAATGGCGGTATATTTGTATTCATAATTTTGGGCTATAGAGGGCGACTTCTTTAGGCATTCAGTGGCAAATATGATTATCATGCTAGAAGTGCTGGATAATAAAGCCAGACATTTTATCTGCTTTCATTACTATCATTGGTAGGGGAAAGGACGGTAACTACACATGCTTTCCACCCCCTTCTTTCTTCACTATTCTTCCTTTATCTCCTATCATTTCTCTCTTTCTCTTTCTCTGTCAGTCAACAATTTTTATTCTTGTGATTGGATTTCTTCGAGGCTATGATTTTTCTGTCAATGTATAATTTGCCTGAAAAAAATATTTCACCGTTTTCTCTCATGATTTAGACTGTCTTATAACCATGATAATGTGAATCATTTCAGTCTCAAGAGCTGATAATGTGACAAATCACATCAAATTGAATATGTCACTATCATAGCCATACTGCATATAGAATGTGATTTATTTGAAATAATCATGCTTGGACCCTACAACACGGGTCCATGAAATAAAGAAATGATTTTCTCTCATGATCACAATTCTCTCTGATATAAGCTTCAATTTTTTTATTTTTTTTTCTCTCTCTCTTTCTCTCTCTCTCTCTCTCTCTCTTTCTCTTTCTCTCATTCTCTCTCTCTCTCTCTCTCTCACAAAAACATGCACAAACGCACATACTTTATCTCTTTCTCATTCTCTCCCCTCTCTCTCTCCCTCTCTCTCTCTCTCTCTCTCTCTCTCCTCTCTCTCTCTCTCTCTCTCCCTATAAACAGCTGAATATTACCGTTGTCTGTGATAATTTATGAGCAATAATCTCTCAAAGTGTTTCTTTTATCACCTCTTTAACAATGAACGTGTCCCTGTAATATGTTATATTATATACTTGTACTTATGAATACCTTGTCAAATATTTATGTTAATAATGATCGGGTAGACTACTCTATTGTGCCTTGACGTAACTTTACAAACTATTACATTAAACAATTGTACTCATTGAATAAACTGAATTTGAACTTTATGTCGACCACATATACTCAGTCTGTTGTTTGAAAGTAGTAACAGAAATTCGTATCCAGGCGATTGTAGCACATGTTATATACCTCACTTAAGTAATCCAGCCATCTGATTGGTCGAAATTGCATTCATAAACTTCAACTGTTCCTGTAAAATTCCCGGTAACCATGCATAAAACATTTAATATTTTTAATAACCATGGTTATTAAAAAAATAGGTCAGCCTCCATGGTTACCCCATAGGTTTACATGTTAAAAAATGGTTTGAGCGATCGAGGATACCGTATGTGTGCGAAGGATTGGTCGGTAATTTCAATACAATTGAATCTCGATCGATCTTACCGACAATTTTATCTTGCATTGTTGACATGAAGACGAAAATAAACTTCCAAAAACAAAAAAACAACATCTGCCGATAGATCTTGATCTAAGTTCGTGCCAATATGCATTGCAAAAGTAAAAGAAGGGTGCTTTTGCGAAGCATTCATCACGCCGAAGCCGGTTTCAATCCATTTTAATGTATATATTGTACAAAACTGCCAATCATGTGAACAGCGCGCAATGGCCGAGTGGTGTAAGGCGTTGGTTTAAGATTCATCACTCATTGTACGCAAGAGTTCGACTCTCACCTTCGACAAAAAAAAAAGTATTTTTTATTTTTTATTTTTTAGTCTATTTTTTTTCGGCATATAAAAGTATTAATGACTGCTTTAATATTCGAGAAATAGTTGTTTTTATACGCTCTCGGGAAGGTTACAATTGGGCTATTCCCCTCGGCACGCCTCGGGTAATAGCACAATTCTAACCTTCCCTTGAGCGTATAAAAACAACTATTTCTCTCAAAGCAGTCATTAATACTATATTAATATAGATGGAATGGTCGACTATATATTTAAAGGTAATACAAAGTAACTGTTATGGTCTTGGGACATGTATTTGGTTCAAATTAATATATTGGAAGCATATGCGATCCTACGATATTCAGTGATCGTTGTCGCGGTTGAAATCGTGTCTAAAGTTATGACAAACGCTTTATGTTGCATAGCTCCCTCTCAAGGTCAAGATATTAATTAAGCTATAAAACAATGTTTCTTGACTAAAATCGACCCATTAGCAATTCCTGTTTGGAAATTATATATCACAACTACATATTCTGAGATTTGTATGGTCGCAGCTACAATTGTACGGCCGTAGGCACTATTTGAAATTCATCAAAATTTACCGGGAGCACCGGTAAATTTTTATATTCAATTTTTCTCAAAAGTAGAAGTGTTTTAGGGGCTAAATTTTCTAGCGCTTATATTACATCCACAGGGGCATCCAAATATATCACAATTGTAAAGTATCACTGTCCACCCAATTTCGACATTTCCCAAAAATTGGTATTAGCTTTAATGGAGCCTACCTAACACAACTAGATCCTGTATAGAGCTCGACACATTTCGTTCATGTTGATTTAGAATATGTCGTACGCTGTGAGAAAAATGTATGTATTCAGTGTCTGTGATTTCAACCATGAACTTTTTGCTATCAACACAATACCCAACGCTATTTGCCCAGCTATGTATTCGCAAGCAGTGGCGTATAGCTAAGAGGCCGGGGGCACGAGATGTGCACGTACGTGCCCCCTAATCGAATGGCTCTTTACAACAACAAAAGTAAGAGCAAGAGGAAAGATCAAAGAAAAAAATAAAATACCGTTAAATAATTAATATAAGAGAAAAATCAGATTTGATTTCAGTGACGTAAGCAGCAAACGTTTCTACAATCTGATATCTTTCAAACAGACTCTCGCCAACAGGTGCTGTCTTTAGGGGGTTACTAAAAAGAAAGACTAATTTGTCTTTCGTGTTCAAAAGGAATTTGACGTATACAAAGGAACTTCGCTTATGAGAGTTCAGTTTTAAATTGCTGTACAATATACAGTACTACTTGTTTGAAACAATCTTTACGAATGGGATTAGCAAAACGACAGATACTGCCCCCAAGTACAACGTTATAGAGGACATTGCCCATGTGTTTATTGAATGTGAACAGAACAAGACTGTCCTTGATTATATCAAACAGGTTGTGATGTTTGGTTTTAATATTGATTTTTACATGGATATATCTCTCCTTTACCTAAGATTACTAATGACAGAGAAGTGGACGTTGTAATAACTATCGCATTCTGGTGTATATACAAAATGGTAGTCTTCCTGAATAAGTATGACTTTAATATTAAAAAAAGTGTTTCAAAGTCAGTTACGTATTTAAAAGAGAAAAAACACACAGACTACTCGTAAATCAGGAGCTTAAAGAAAACAGACGAAAAAGGTTGACAGAGAAATTGTTAAAAGCACTTTAATTGGTAAGTAGCAAATTATCGTACAAGCGAGAAAATGTATGTGTTTAGTATTGATAACATAGTACTACGATTACTTTGTTTCTAATAACTTTATTCTTGAGGCTCGAATGGAAAATAAATATCTCAACTGAGGCACTCACACACAAGCTTTCTCTTTCCAAGTATGTACCTGAACACTAATGTGGTTACAATGTTAAAATCACAAGACGCTTTATAAGCTTTCCTTACTATATTTGGAAGAGTAAAGGACGGTAACTACATTTGTTTTTCACCCCCTCTTTCTCCACTATTCTTCCGTTATTTCCTTCTATTTCTTTCTTTCTCTTCCTCTTTTCCTGTCAACAATAAATATTAAAGGACTCTTTCAGTGTCAATCAAAAATACCGTGTGTATACAACAGAATAATGTTAATGTAATTATAGGTTAGGTTTACTTTTTATAACTACGGTGAATTTTCTTATTAAAAGAAAAAGAAACAAAAGATGAAGATACAAACTACGAACATTAAGACATGTATTCAAGGTACTTTACAAAACTGTGTAGCGAAACATTATAGAGATTATGTGAGTGTGTCGAAATAGTCGCGCCATTTTACCCATAAGAATTTACTTTCTTTCTTCACCAAAAACATAAGGTAACTGCATTGAGATGCGGTTATCAGAACCACCCCCTTTAAAAACAAGACAAAACAAAACAAACAACAAACCTTTTTGTAGTTGTTAAAGAACAATAGAAAGAAAATTGTGCCCAAGCTAGGTTGCTTATGCATACAAGGAATTTCTTCGATCCAATCTTAATTTTACCCACATATTAACTGGTAAATTATTTTTCTAAACGATAGGAAAACATTAAAATGATGTTTTATTCAGATTCATCCCTGGGTTTTCCATGAATGTCTACTAGCATGACCAGATGTAGGTCGAATATCCTCATAATTTCCACAATTTATCATAATTTATGAAAAACATAATCCTATCTTACCCCATTCTCTTTCTACCGCTATAAAATACGGATGAAGTTATTCCAAATTCCACATCACAAAGCAATAGTCTGTATAGATTTAATTGAATTGAATCGAATTTAACTAGACTCAATTAAATTGAATTGAAGGGGTAACTATTATTAAAAAGACAACTGCCGAATTTATATGCAACATGTCCAAAATGAAAATAATTATTATAACAGAACTGCAGTAAACATTTACATAATGTATCATAATTGTCAACAACAAAAACTTCAGACTGTTAAATTTTTATTATTACATCGTTCTTCTATACTTCATAGCAAACCAATCTGTCATTTTATCAGTCTCTAGAGCATTCAATTTAATAGCTTTTCAGACAAGGGGTATTTTTTTGTTATCGATTTGATTTATTAGCAAGTTCAACGTAACATATATACGAAGATTCAAATAATATTATGAAATGAAAACAAAAAATACTATAAACAACTTTTCAGCATGACCTGTGAAAGCTGAAAAGCGTCTTTACAATGGGGTCCCATTTACAAAGTGAGCATCAATTATTTCGTCATCTAAAGGTACCCAATATGCACAATATAAATCACAAATATAGGCACAAACAAAATAATTGTTGTAATACTTTGAGAATAACAACATAAGGAAAATAACACTAACAAGAAGATAATCAATGTGCTTATCAATTTTGAATTTATAAATTATGATGTGATATCATCACTGACTTCTGTAACTATCTAAGAGATACGCTTACACAAAGCAAGAAATAGATGTATATTTAACGTACTGCATTTACATATTACTTCGAGAGAGGGAAGGCATTATTCTACAGTATAATGACAACTGTATTCAGGCAATTAAAATGTATCTAGAGAATGGGAATCTTCTCATTTGATTATTTATCATATAATAAACAACATAACATGAAACATAGGCCCATTATTAGAGTAGATCTGGAGCAGGGAGGTAATTATACACACTACAAATAAGGGTGAACAGAGTGTGAAATACAGATGATTACAGTAATAATTTGATAAAATACAACGTTTTGTTACGAGCAAAGGCGAGCATGTTTGGACAGAGGGAAACCAAGTAACACCAAGTATCTCCACGCGTCAGGTTAAGTACATTGAACTCAACTCTTTCCTTCAGGTTCAGACCATCAAGGTCATAGAGCCGTATCACCACATTACCATTCTTGCTATCAACACTCGCTATATACACCCCGTCCTGTTCATCCACGGCAGCATACAGGAGGACACCGTTTGGAGCCCGTAGAGGCTTACCAGCATTCCCATACCTGTCATAGACCGTCACCACGCCTGGATTTGTCCTAGAACCTGAACTCGTGACGACCAAACCCGACCTGGTAGCAGATACCTGCCTCGTATAGTTGTGTTTTGTTGGAACAGTGTGTTTCAGAATAGATCCAGTCGGGTCATAAATATAGACTTTCTTTTCATTTGTAGCCGCGAAAAAGATTTCATCTGATGGACTTCTGTTTAGTCTGAGCCAGCCATTGCTTTGCACGTGGACGGTTGATTTCCTGGAGCCATTAGGTGAATATATGTCTGCTTTGCTTCGCATCGATATACATAACGACCTGTCTTGTAGAAACACAAGATCATAACACTCCATGTTACTTGGTATGTTTGCATACTGCTCCTGTTTACCAGTTAAATCAATGATATCTATACCATGTTCATTCAAATATCCGATAGCCACACTATCATCAGAGTATGGGGTCATACCCGACATCCCTCCCCGAAGATCTACACACTGAATGACTTGAACCTTGGGATCTGATTCTGAGATGCTCCCGAGGTCAAGACGACTATCATCTGCAGGATTGAACCTCTTCTCCTGTGCTTTCTTCGTAATGGCTGCCGCAGAAGTGTGATCAGTAGCTTCCTTCAGCATGGCATCCAGCTCCTCACAGAGCAAGGTATGAGCAGACAGACTGTCTGTCTCAAGACGACCCAGTCTGTCATTAGCTACCAGTGTCATTGAACTACAAATACTCTTGATGCTCTGTCGATCCTTGGATTTCAAGACGTTGAGGTCGTCCTCGAAACTCTGTTTTACTGCAATGAGTTGCTCGGTGAGATGTCGATGATTTTCTTCAAGCTCTTTAACCTTGATGCTGTAGGCTTGACTGATATCGTCCAGTAGTTTCTGCACGGCAGTGTATACTTCACGGCGTTGTACTTCCACATTCTGAATGTTCTTCTCCAGTTCTGTCTTCTTAGCGGCACATCGCTGGACAAGGTCGCTCACCTAAACAATCAAATAGAAAATAGAGAAGTGAAAAGAACATTCTGTAGAATGAGATGTATGCCAATTACGTGGAGCTGGTTTGAAATTCACCGGATTTTGGAAGCGCTTGATGTTTCACAAAAACTAGAACCAAGACCCACCCCCTACATCATCATATGTCATATGAGGACCGAGGAATGTAATACATTTTTTTTCGGCCTATTTTTAAGGGAATCCGACCATTGCAATAAGTTAATTTGTATAAAAGCAGTAATATCAGATTTAAAAAAAATGGATATAGGCCATCAGCCCCCTCTGCCCTCACCTCCTCCCCGCTTCCGGCGCCTACGTTACCTTACATAAAACCATGATTACCTTAAGCCGTAACTCCTGCTCAAAGTCAGCCTGATTCTTGATTTTGTGAAATTGATGACCGACGATCACGCACTTGAGACAGACGTGGACCTTACAATCCTCACAAAACATATCTTTGTTCTCTTGTTTGTGGATGTAGCACTTCTCGGATAGATGACCAATGCTGACCTTCCCGTTGATGATATCCTGTACGGATACAATCTCATGGGCCTCAAACATTACAGACAAATTCTGATGACTCGTCAGACAGTGTCCACAAAAGTAGCTGTTGCAGGATTTGCAGAATGATACAGCCTCTTCTTCACGCTTGCAAGCAGTGCATTTTTGATGCATCTCAAGGACAGCGTTCATCCCTCCACTCTTGGCGTGGTAATCGTCTACCAGTGCGTTGACAGTCACATTGGTGAGGAAATCTTTGACACGGTTCGCAGACAACTTGGTGACCTCCCTGCAGAGAGGACAGATCATGTGATCAAGATCCTGATGGGACAGGTCATAGTTCTCGAGACATTTCCGACAGAAGGTATGCCCGCATGAAGTCAGGATTGTTGCCTCGTCGAAGATATCAAGACATAGCGGACATGTCAGGTTCTCTGGAGAGCTTGGAGCTAAATCTTCTTCAGTCTTCTCAGCCATTGGTATACAAATATCAGCTTTCTGGCAAAATGTACAAAAGTTCAACAGTCAGTTCATGCAAGCTCAAACAATATGCAGTGACGTGTAGGTTGTACCAATATCCTGAGTCCAAGTTTTCACGTTGAATGATAATATGCGTCGAAAGAGGTGCGCCTATCTATGATCAAAAGTATTAATTCCCTTTCCAAGTGTGTATACAAATAAGGTTACAATGGTAAAATCACACTTGAGTAGATCGTCTGTTCATATTATGCAGTTTGTGCATCCTATAAATAGCAGTGGGTTTTCCCACAGAGAGCGCACAGGATATTGCACCTTTGAACTTAATGGCGGTATATAGTATGTATTCATTGTTTTAGTCTATAGCGGACGACTTTGTTCGGATGTCAGTGGTGGATATGATTATTATGCTAGAAATCCACTGTAGTAGAATTCTAGATAATAAAAGTCAAACGTTTTATTTGCTTGCATTACTATCATTAGGGAATTTTCGATTTGCGTGGACGTGGACATGTGACTTCCTTTAAAGTCACGTGTGACGTCCTTTTAAGGCACTGACAGTGCCTTAAAAGGATATCACACGTTGCAGTCCACGTTCTCGTCGTGCAAATCGAAAAGTCCCTATTGGTAGGGAGAAAGAACGGTAACTACACTTGCTTTCCACCCCTTCTTCCTCCACTATTCTTACTTTATCTCCTTCCATATCTCTCTTTTTCTTTCTCTGTCAACAAATCATATTCTTGTGAATGGATTGCTTCGAGGCTATGATTTTCTCTTCAATGTACAATTTGCTTGAAAAAAATATTTTACCGTTTTTACTCTTATACAAAATCTCATGATTTAGATATATTATAACCATGATAATGTGAATCATTTCTGTCTCAAGAGCTGATAACATGAAAACTCATATCAAATTTAACATGTCACTATATCATAGCGATACTGCACATGGAATGTGATTTATTTGAAATAATCATGCTTGGACCCTGCAACAATGGATCCTTGAAATAAAGAAATGATTTTCTCTCATCGCAATTCTGTCTGATTTAAGCTTCTTACTTTCTCTAATTATTCCTCTCTTTCGCTCTGTCTCACTCTCTCTCTCTCTCTCTCTCTCTCACGCACACACTTTCATCTTTCTATCTCTATCTCTGACTCTTTCTTTTTCTCTCTCTCTCTCTCTCTCTCTCCCTATAAACAACTGAATATTATCAAAGTCTGTGAGAATGTATGTGCAACAATCCTTAAAAGTGTTTTTTTTTTAAACACCTCATTAACAATGAACATGAACCTGTAGATACTTGTACTTATGAATACCTTGTCAACTATTTATGTTAGTGGTGTCGGGTCGGGTAGACCCTATTTTGCCTTGATTAAACTTTACAAACTATTACATTAAACATGTCCTCATTGACATAACTGAATTTGAACTTTATGTCGACCACATATACTCAGTCTGTTGTTTGAAAGTAGTAACAGAAATACTTATCCAGGGGATTATAGCACCTGTCAATATAGAAACAATGGAAATGGAGCGTATTTTGATGCTCGAATGGAAATTAGACATATCAATAATATTAAGGCGCACACACACACAAACACACAAACATTCTCTTTCCAAATGTTTACTTGAATACCAAGGTGGTTACAATGGTAAAATCACTCTCGAGTAGATCGTCTGCCGATATATATCATGCAGTTTGTGCATCCTATGAATAGAATTGGGTTTTTCCACAGAGCGATTAAACATGCACATTTGAGCTAGTTGGCGGTATGTTTTTTCAATTATCTAGAGAGGCCGACTTATTTCGGATATCAGTGGTGGATTATGTTGGAGATCCACTTTAGTAGAATCCTGGATAATAGCGCTAGTCGTTATATTTGCTTTCATTACTATATTTGGAAGAGTTAAAGATAACAACTACACTTGTTTTCACCCCCTCTTCTTCACTATTCTTCCGTTATTTCCTTCTATTTTTCTCTTTCTCTTCCTCTTTCTCTGTCAACAATTTAAGGGCTATTCCAGTGTCAAACAACAATACCATGTGCATACAACAAAATAATGTACATGTAATTATAGGCTAGGTTTACAGCGTATACATACTTTTCATAACATTTTATTAAGGTACTTTACAAAACTGTGTACAAAAACAGTATAGAGACCATGTGTGTGTATTGAAATAGTAGCCCCATTTTACAAAAAAGAATTGACTTACTTTATTCACCAAAAACATAAGGTAACTGCATTTTCCATCGAGAAACGGTTATCAGAACCCCCCCCCCCCCTCCTTAACAAAAAAAAAAAAAAAAAACGAATATAAGGTGTTTTTTTTAATAACAATAGAAAGAAAAATGTCCACAAGCTACATGTAGGTCGCTTAACACAAAAGGAATTCTTCGATGTTATCTTCTTACAAACAAATCAACTGGTATGTCATTTTTTAATGACTCTGTTGGGAAACATTGAATTGATGTTTTCTCCAGATTCATCCCTACCTTTGCCGCGCATGTCTACTAGCGTGACCAGAGGTAGGTTTAATATCCTCATCATTTCTACAGTTTATCATAATGATAAACATAATCCTATCTCACCCCCATTCTCTCTCTCTCTACCGTTTTAAAATGCAGATGAAGATATTCCAAATTCCACGTCACAAATCGATAGTCTGTATAGATTTCATTGAAATGAATCGAATTTAACTTGACTGAATTAAATTGAATTGAAAGGGTAATTATTATGAAAAAGATCGCCAACTGCCGGATTTACATGAAATATGTTCAAAATGAAATTACTAATTATAACAGAACTGCAATAAACGTTGACATAATGTATCATACTATGAATTACTTAGGACGTTTAGTCAAGAAACAAATCTTCTGACAGTTAAACGAGGCCCTTTTTTTTTTGTTAATACACCGTTCTTCTCTATCTCATATCAAACTAATCTGACATAATCCGTCCCAGAGCATTAAATTTAATAGCTTTTCAGACAGAGTGCAAAGTGAATACGAAGGATTTTTTCATAGAATATAGCACAATGTCTAGTAAGATTTTGTTAATGTTTTGATTGATTTGATGTATCAGACAAGTTCAATGTAACAGACATACGAAGAGGAAATTGATATCATAAAATGAAAACAAAAAATTACTACCAATAACTTGACAGGATGACCTGTGAAAGTTGAAAAGCTTCTTTCCAATGGGGTCCTATTTACAAAGTTAGCATAAATTCTTTCTTCATTTAAAGATACAAAATGATCACAATATAAATCAAAAAAATATAAGCACTAACGAAATGTTCTTTGTAATACTTTAAGAATGACAACGTAAGGAGAATAACACTCACGAATTAAGAAGTTCATCAATATGCTTAACCATTTTGAATGTATACATTATGATATCATATCACTGACTTTCAGTTAATATCAAAGAGGTACGATTACACAACGCAAGAAGTAGATGTACGTACTGCATATTATTTCGAGAAAGGAAGGTTATCATTATGTATAGAGTATAATGACAACTGTATTCAGGCAATTAAAATCTATCTAAAGAATAGGCGTATTCTCATTTGTTTAGTTATCACATAATTATAAACAACAAAGGAAAACATAGGCCCATATTAGAGTAGATCTTGAGCAGAGAGGTATACACACTACAAATAAAGGTGAACAGAGTGTGAAATACATATGATTACAGTGATACCTTGATAAAATACAACTTCCTGTCACGAGCAAACGCGAGCATGTCTGGAGAGAGGGAAACCAAGTAACACCAATTATCTCCATACGTCAGGTTAAGTACATTGAACTCAACTCTTTCCTTCAGGTTCAGACCATCAAGGTCATACAGCCTGATCACCACGTTACTATTCATACGATCAACACTCGCTACATACATACTGTCCTGCTCATCCGCAGCAGCATACAGGAGGACACCGTTTGGAGCTTGTAGAGGCTTACCAGCATTCCCGTCCCTGTCATAGACCGTCACCACGCTTGGATCGGTGTAATTACATGAACTCGTGACGATCAAACCCGACCTGGTAGCAGATACCTGCCTCGTATAGTTGTGTTTTGTTGGAACAGTGTGTTTGAGAGTGGATCCAGTCGGGTCATAGATATAGACTTTCTTCGTATTGTCAATACTGATGAGGATTTCATCTGATGGACTTCTGTTTAGTATGGAAGAATAGCTACTGTGGTTCATGTAGATGGTTGATTTCCTGGATCCGTCGGGGGAATATATGTGTGCTTCACTGCTTTGAAACGTCGATATGCATAACGACCTGTCTTGTTGAAACACAAGATCATAACACTCCATGTTACTTGGTATGTTTGCATACTGCTCCTGTTTACCAGTTAAGTCAATGATATCTATACCATGTTCATTTAAATATCCGATAGCCACACTATCATCAGAGTACTGGGTCATACCCCGCATCTCTCCCCGTAGATCTACATACTGAATGACTTGAACCTTGGGATCTGGTCCTGAGATGCTCCCGAGGTCAAGACGAGTATCACCCGCAGGATTGAACCTCTTCTCTTGTGCTTTCTTTGTAATGGCTGCCGCAGAAGTGTGATCAGTAGCCTCCTTCAGCATGGCATCCAGCTCCTCACAGAGCAAGGTATGAGCAGATAGACTGTCTGTCTCCAGACGACCCAGTCTGTCATTAGCTACCAGTGTCATTGAACTACAAATACTCTTGATGCTCTGTCGACCCTTGGATTTCAAGACGTTAAGGTCGTCCTCGAAACTCTGTTTTACTGCATTGAGTTGCTCGATGAGATTTTGATGATTTTCTTCAAGCTCTTTAGCCTTGATGCTGTAGGCTTGACTGACATCGTCCAGTAGTTTCTGCACGGCAGAGTATACTTCATGGCGTTGTACTTCCACATTCTGAATGTTCTTCTCCAGTTCTGATTTCTTAGTGGCACATCGCTGGACAAGGTCATTCACCTAAACAAAACAAATGAATAATAGAGAAGTGGAAAGAACATTCTGTAGAATGAGATGTATGCCAATTACGTGGAGCCGGTTTGAAAATCAAACACCGGATTTTGGACGCGCCTGATTTTTCATAAAAGTTATAACCAAGACCCACCCACTACATCATTATATATCACATGAGGACCGAGGAAATGATTAAAAAAAAGGAATCCGACCCTTGTAATAAGTTCATTTGTATGAAAGCAGATAAACAAAATGAAAATAGGCCAAATAGTTAAAGTATAATGATAGTATCATGATAATGAAAAGAAGAA